GTCCCGCAGGGCTCCGGGTGGCCGTGACCCTGCTGGAGTGCGGGGGGACCTCCAGCCCCCAGGGGGGTCCCTGACCTTACTGTGCCGCGCATCTGGGTTCAATTTTGGGGGTCAGTCCATGAGCTGGGTCCGTCAGAGACCCGGGCAGGGGCTGGAGTGGCTCGCGGGGATCAGCAGTGGTGGCAGGACCTTCTATGCATCGTTGGTCAAGGGCTGGTTCAGGATCTCCAGGGACAACGGGCAGAGCTCGGTGACGCTGACCGTGAAAAAACCTCAAGGTCGTGGATTCCGGATCCTATTTCTGTTCCAGGGGTTATTATAACAATGCTGCTGCTAATGACGCCTGTCGTTTTGACCTCATCCCCATGGCTGTTTCCCCCTTGTCCCCGTTCCCCAGACCCTTCCCCCAGTCCCCAGCCCCTGACCCCATTCCTGTCGCCGTGTCCCAGCTCTGAACTGGCTCTGCCCCAATCTCAGCTCTTGGCCCCAAACCTCAGCTCTGGGCTCCACGTCCAAACCAAATTCCCAAAAACTGACGAGGACGTCCCAGATCCAGCCCTACCGTGTCAATCTGCCTTTGCTTTGTGTGATTGGCCACAAACCTCTCGCGGTGAGCGGCGCCATTGAGTTCTGTGTGTGCTGCTGGGGCCGTGAGTCGCCGGCACCTCCCCAATGCCACAGCCCAGTGAGGAGAGCGATGGTGGGAAACCAAACGGCTCCAGAGGGATCCCCACAGCCCCATCCTGGTGGGGATTTGGACAGAGACCCCCAAGCGGGGATGGGCCCAGGACTGAGGATTGGGGGAAATGTTGGGGGTTTGGGGACAGCTGGGGACGCTGAGATGGGTGCGTGGATCCACCGCTGGGGTCTTCACCATAAGCACCAGGACCCCAAGCACCAGCATAACCAGATTTGGCACAGAAATAGGTGGCAGAATCCTCGTCCTTGACGTCGTTCATGGTCAGTGTCACCGAGCTCTGCCCGTTGTCCCTGGAGGTCGTGACCCGGCCCTTGACCGATGGCGCGTAGCCGGTGCTGCCACCAGTGTTGATCCTGCGAGCCACTCCAGCCCCTGCCTGGGTCTCATCTCCAGGGGAGATGGAGATCAGGCCCCGGATCCGGGTGTGGGCTGGGCTGGGGGTGACCAGATGCCAAAAGGGACGTCAACCCACCTGGGAGGGCCAGCAGGATGGGGAGGAGAACAAAGTGACACAGTGTGTGGCCAACATCAGGATCTGGATGCAGGAATTAGGATTTGGGTGGATTTTTTCCTTCATCCCCATCTCCCCTTTGTCCCGCAGGGCTCCGGGCTGCCGTGACCCTGCTAGAGTGCGGGGGGGACCTCCAACCCTCCCGGGGGGTCCCTGCGCCTCCTCTGCCGAGGGTCCGGGTTCAGTTTCGGGAATTTTGACATGTCATGAATCCGTCAGAGTCCCGGGCAGCGGCTGGAATGGCTCGCGGGGATCAACACTGGGGGAGCCACCGGCTACGCGCCATCGGTCAAGGGCCGGTTCAGGATCTCCAGGGACAACGGGCAGAGCTCGGTGCTGCTGACCATGAACAACCTCAAGGACGAGGATTCCGGATCCTATTTCTATGCCAAAGCTGCTGCTGCTGGTTGGGGTAATGGTGCTGCTGATGGTTTTGACCCCACCCTTATCGCTGTGTCCCCCCTGTCCCCGTTCCCCAGCCCCTTCCCCCAATCCCCAGCCCCTGACCCCATTACTGTCCCCGTGCCCCAACCCTGCCCTGGCCCTGCCCCACATTCTCAGCTCCTGGCCCCACACCTCAGCTCGGGGCCCATTCAGGGCCATTTTGGCTCCTGGACTGTCCCTGACCGTGCTGACCCTGCCCTTGACCAATGGAACATTCCAGGTGACTACACCCTTGCACCCTTCTGCTTCTCTCAGCATGGAGCCCTTGGCTGGGGATCAATGTGAAAATTTGTGGAAAAATTCAATTTCCCCAATTTTTTCATGTGTTTTTGGCTAAAAAAATGGTTTTTTCTCCATAGCTCCCAGAGAGGATTCCAGCCCAGCCCCAAGGAGCAGCCCCAGACACCGCGGCCGCTGAGGGAGCAGTGAAGCCCCAGGTGGGACAAAGGGAGGGAGGGAGGAGAAGACGCCGCGATTCTGGGGCTCCGCAGCCTCCCCCCACTTCCTCCCCGGCAGCTGCCAGGGCCCGGCCGGGGCAGGAAAGGAAACAGAAAGTTCCTGGTTTTGGTCACTGTGAACATCTGTGTTTGGCAAAGGGAAACTCAGCCTCGGGGCGCTGCGGCAGAGCGCCGGCTGCACAAAAAGCGTTGTGTGCAAAGGGCCCCGGAGTGATCCCCATTCTGCACTGGGACGGAGGGGAAGGGCCAGACTGGGGAGGAATGGGGAAAATTAGAGGAAATTGGGAATTGGGGAAGTGATGGTGGAGTTTGGGGGAAAATATCTGAGATGTTAGAAAAAGAGCCAGGATTTTGGGGAAGGATCAGAGAATTCTGTGATGCTTGGGAAGAGAGAGGAGAGGGCTTGGGACCACAACAACCATAAACACCATAAGCATAGCAGCATTACCGCAACCACTGGTGTAACGTTTGACACAGAAATAGGATCCGGAATCCTCATCCTTGAGGTTGTTCACGGTCAGCGTCACCGAGCTCTGCCCGTTGTCCCTGGAGATCGTGATCCGACCCTGCACCGACGGCGCGTAGTTGGTGTAAGCACCACTGCTGCAGATCCACGCGATGAATTCCAGCCCCTGCCCGGGTCTCTGGCGGACCTGGAACATGTCGTAGCTCCCGAAAACTGAACCCGGCCCCTCGGCAGAGGAGGCGCAGGGACCCCCTGGGGGGCTGGAGGTCCCTTCCGCACTCCAGCGGGGTCACGGCCGCCCGGAGCTCTGCGGGAAAAAGGGGAGATGGGGATGGGGCCAAAGCTCAACCCTTGACCCAAATCCTGACTCTTGGCCCCAAATTGGGACCCTTGGAGTTCATCATCCTTATCCCAGGTGGGTCTCGATACTTTATCAACCTTGACCCTCCCAGTTTGCGGCCCTGAACCAATCAGGTTTCCCATCCCACTCTCCCCTTTGTCCCGCAGGGCTCCGGGCGGCCGTGACCCTGCTGGAGAGTGGGGGGGACCTCCAGCCCCCCGGGGGGTCCCTGCGACTCCTCTGCCGAGGGTCCGGGTTCGATTTTGGACAATTTGGGATGGGCTGGATGCGTCAACGACCCGGGCAGGGACTGGAATTCGTCGCAGGGATCACCAACACTGGTGGCAACACCGGCTATGCGGATTCAGTCAAGGGCCAGTTCAGGATCTCCAGGGACAACGGGCAGAGCTCAGTGACGCTGACCATGAACAACCTCAAGGATGAGGATTCCGGATCCTATTTCTGTGCCATACCTTATTGTAGTGGTTGCTGGGCTGCTGGTAACAATGGTGACAATATTGGTGATTGCCTCCAGGCCATTCTTTTTGCCCCACTCCCTTCATTTTGTCCCTAAAGCTCTGATTTTCATCCCAAACCTCTCTTCTTGACGCACTCCTTGACCTTTTCACTCCATTTGCAACATCAGTGGCCACAGACCCCAAACCCTCCCCTGCTCCTGCCCCAAAACTCAACCACTGGCCCCAAATCTTCACCCCTGGGCTCCAGTCCAGGCCTCCTCCAATCAGGGCCCAGGGAGCTAGGGGAGATTTTGGTGAAATTGGCAAAATTGAGTTAAAGTGTAGAGTGTAGGCAGCAGGGGCGGAGTTTGGGGGAAACTCTTTAACACTTGGGAGAAAAGCTGGGCTCTGGAGGAAGGATGACTGGGAGTGGAGACATCTAGTGACCGTCATAGGGCTGGGGCCACTGCTGGAATTGTCACTAAAACCAGCAACACCACCACCATAACCACTAGTAGCACATTTGGCACAGAAATAGGATCCGGAGTCCTCGACCTTGAGATTGTTCATGGTCAGCGTCACCGAGCTCTGCCGGTTGTCCCTGGAGATCGTGAACCGGCCCTTGACCGATGGCGCGTAGTCAGTGCTGCCACCACTGTTGCTGATACTGGCGATGTATTCCAGTGTCTGCTCGGGTCTCTGGCGCATCCAGCCCATCCCAAAACTGCCAAAATCAAACCCAGATGCGCGGCACAGCAACGTCAGGGACCCCCCAGGGGGCTGGAGGTCCCCCCCGCACTCCAGCAGGGTCACGGCCGCCCGGAGCCCTACGGGACAAAGGGGAGAGATGAGGATGAGAAACCTGATTGGCTGTGGGGTCAAAGTAGGTGTGGCTTGCTGTAAAAAGGGGCGGGACCGCCCTGACAGGAGGATGATGAACTCCCAGGCTCCAAATTTGGGGCCAAGGTTCAGGGTTTGGGTCAAGGGTTGAGCTTTGGCCTCATCCCAAACTCCCCTTTGCCCTGCAGGGCTCCGGGCGGCCGTGACCCTGCTGGAGTGCGGGGGGGACCTCCAGCCCCCCGGGGGGTCCCTGCGCCTCATCTGCCGAGGGTCTGGCTTCAGTTTTGGCAGTGTCTCCATGCACTGGGTCCGCCAGAGACCCGGGCAGGGGCTGGAGTGGCTCGCAGGGGTCTACAGCAGTGGCAGCGCCAACTGTGCAGATTCGGTTAAGGGCCAGTTCAGGATCTCCAGGGACAACGGACAGAGCTCGGTGACTCTGACCATGAACAACCTCAAGGATGAGGATTCCGGATCCTATTTCTGTGCCAAAGCTGCTGGTGCTGCTTGGGCTGCTGCTGCTTACATTGACCATGCCGGTGGTGGCAGCGCCCGTGCCTGAGCCCCTCTTATCCCCAAATCTCAGAACCTTTACCCAAATCTCAGCCCTTGACCTCATTCTTGACCCCTTTGCCGAGATCTCCCCCATTTCCACCAATAGAGACTAAAGACTCCAAACCCCCAAACTAGTTCTGCCCCAAACCCACCAGCTTTGGCCCCAAAACTCGCCCGATTCTGCCCCCAATCCCTACTCTGGGCTCCCAGCCACAGCCGCTGACCCAAACCTCACCCGCTGTGCCCAAATGTCGGCCCTTTGGGGCAATTTTGGGGCACAAGTGGGAGATTTGGGGCCGAGAGTTGAGTTTGGGGGCAGACCCAGGGCAGGGTTTGGGGCCAATGGGCAGCGTTGGGGCAAAGGGGGCGGGGCTTGGACAAAGGGTCAGGAGTGGGACAGGGGGGTTTGGGGAAGGGTTTGGGGACAGCTGGGGACAGGGACGAGGCCAGGACCCCAAACACCAACCCAAACACCAACAAAAGCAGTAAGAGCAGTGCTAACACCAGAAGATTTGGCACAGAAATAGGATCCGGAATCCTCGCCCTTGAGGTTGTTCATGGTCAGCGCCACCGAGCTCTGCCCGTTCTCCCTGGAGATCGTGAACCGGCCCTGGACTGAATCCACGTACCTGGTGCTGCCACCATCACTGTTGACGCTGGCGATGAATTCCAGCCCCTGCCCGGGTCTCTGGCGGATCCAGCCCATTGCAAATTTCCCAAAATCGAACCCAGACCCTCGGCAGAGGAGGCGCAGGGATCCCCCGGGGGGCTGGAGGTGCCCCCCGCACTCCAGCAGGGTCACGGCTGCCTGGAGCACTGTGGGACAAAGGGGAGATGGGGATGAGGCCAAAGCTCAACCCTTGACCCCAACATCCCAACTATTGGCCCCAAATTTGGACCCTTGCCGTTCATCACCCTCCTCCTCCCAGGTGGGTCCTGTCCCTTTTTTCCAAATGGCTAAGCCCACTCTGAGGCCCTGGACCAATCAGGTTTCCCATCCCCATCTCCCCTTTGTCCCGCAGGGCTCCGGGCGGCCGTGACCTTGCTGGAGTGCGGTGGGGACCTCCAGCCCCCCGGGGGGTCCCTGCGACTCCTCTGCCGCGGGTCTGGGTTCAGTTTCGGCAGTTTTGGGATGATGTGGATGTGCCAGAAACCCGGGCAGACTCTGGAGGGTCTTGCGGTGATCGCCAGCAGTGGGAACACCTACTGCAATCCATCCTTCAAGGGCCGGTTCAGGATCTCCAGGGACAACGGGCAGAGCTCGGTGACGCTGACCATGAACAACCTCAGGGATGAGGATTCCGCCGTTTATTTTTGCGAGAAATCTTCTGGTATAGGTTTTGGTGGTCCTGCTGCTAATTGAGGTGATGATGATGGTTGTGTCCCCATCCCCGTGTCCCCCCCTGTCCCCGTTCCCCAGACCCTTCACCCAAACCCGCAGCCCACACCCAGCCCTTGACCATTGATCCCAACCTTGCTCTGCCTCGGCCCCAATTCTCACCCGCTGACCCCAAACCACAACTCCTGACCCCAAATCTCCTCTTTCTACCCCAAAACTTGATTCTGAAAGTGGATACTTCTGGTCAAGGGTTAAGATTTCGGTCAATTTTGTGGCCAAGAGCGGAGAATTTTGGGCAGAGCCAGGGCAGGGTTGGGAGATGTTGTCAGAAATGGGGTCAGGGGCAGAGTTTGGGAGAAGGGTCTGGGGAACCTGGACAGGTGGGGACACGGCCATGGGGATGGGGTCAATACCATCAGCAGCAGCACCCCAAGTATCAGAGGCAGCTTTCACGCAGAAATAGGATCCGGAATCCTCGTCCTTGAGGCTGTTCATGGTCAGCGTCACCGAGCTCTGCCCGTTGTCCCTGGAGATCCTGAACCGGCCCTGCACTGATGATGCGTAGGTGTAGCTGGATCCATCGTTCTTGATCGCTGCGACGTATTCCAACCCCTACCTGGGTCTCTGGCGGATCCAGAACATTCTGAAATTGCAGAAACTGAACCCGGATCCTCGGCAGAGGAGGTGCAGGGACCCCCCAGGGGGCTGGGGGTTCCCCCCGCACTCCAGCAGGGTCACGGCCGCTCTCCGATCCCCAAACCTTCACTGGTTTTGCCCCCAATTCCCTTTGTTTGTCCCCAAATCTCCAACAGAGTTTTCCAGAATGATAAAGTGCCTTAAACTGTGCAATTAGCCCCAGTTCACCCATTAATTAATTGGACACCTCCACCTGACTTTTGCATCCACTCACCCCCATCTCCCCTTTGTCCCACAGGGCTCCGGGCAGCCGTGACCCTGCTGGAGTGTGGGGGGGACCTCCAGCCCCCCGGGGGATCCCTGCGCCTCCTCTGCCGAGCGCCCGGGATCGATTTTGGGATTATTGTGATGGCCTGGATCCGCCAGAGACCCGGGCAGGCGCTGGAGTTCATTGCAGATATCAGCACCACTGGCAGCACAAGCTACGCAAATTCGGTCAAGGGCCGGTTCACGATCTCCAAGGACAACGGGCAGAGCTCGGTGACGCTGACCATGAACAACCTCAAGGACGAGGATTCCGGATACTATTTCTGTGCCAAATATGCTTATACTCCTGATGGTACTTATGGTGTTGCTTCTATTGACGTGCCGGGCTTGGCCCCATTCCCCATCCAGCACTGCAGGAGCATCCGGGAGCAGGACGGCCGGGACAGACGGACGGATACGAGAGATCTCTGCAGCCAGGTCTGGAATTTGGGGTTTATTGCAAAGGACGAACTGCAGGGCCCTGCTGGGAGCTGCCAGGCACAGCTGGAGCAGGGCTGAGAGAAGAGAGGGGAGAGAGGATGAGACGGGAAGAGAGTAAGAGAGTAAAAAGGGTAAATGAGTAAAAGGGTGAGAGAATAAAAAGGCTAAGAGAGTGAAAGTCAGTGAATAAAATGGTAAGAGTGTAAAAGGGTAAGAACATAAAACTGTAAGAGAATAAAAGGGTAAGAGAGTGAGGTTCCCACCACAATACAATAAATCTTCTTCTCTGTAGAATATTCTAATTCTCACTAACCAATCTAATACAATATACAAACCCTACAGCATTTCCATACACCCTAAAAGAAGCCTTTCATTACCGTACTCTATTACATTTTAAACCCTAAAAACTCCTCTTTGGCACCCTTCTGCCAAGTCTAAAACCTGCTCTTTGGAAACCCTAAAAACTCCTCTTTGGAGCAACTTTAAACCCTAAAAACTCCTCTTTGGAAGAACTTTAAACCCTAAAAACTCCTTTTTGGAGTAACTTTAAACCCTAAAAACTCCTCTTTGGGCCCTTCTGCCAAGCTGTAGGGTCGCTCTGACCCTTGGAGCTGTCTGCAGGCAGAGGGTGTTGTTCCATCAAAATGGGCTCACCTTCAGCCGGCCACGCCGTTGTTTTCCAGTTGTTCAGTCCCTGAGGGATCTCAAAGCTTGCTTTCATTTCAATCTCTCTGATGGTCTCCATATTCTCAACATTTTTTACCCGACTTATTGATATTATCAATATACCCATATTGATAAGGCTTTGCTGTTCCATCCTCCCCAACCAGCATCAGCATAAGCACCGTGACCATCGGTGTCCTTGGTGCAGAAATAGGATCCGGAATCCTCGTCCTTGAGGTTGTTCATGGTCAGCGTCACCGAGCTCTGCCCGTTGTCCCTGGAGATTGTGACCCGGCCTTTGACGGAATCCGCGTTCCTGGTGACGCCACCACTGCTGGTGATGGTTCCGACCCACTCAAACCCCTGCCTGGGTCTCCAGTGCATCCAGCCCATCCCAAAATTCCCAAAACTGAACCCGGACCCTCGGCAGAGGAGGCGCATGGAGCCCCCGGGGGGCTGGAGGTCCCCCCCCGCACTCCAGCAGGGTCACGGCCACTCCCCCATCCGCAAAGCTTCTCTGCTTTTGCCCCAGAATCCTTTTTTCTTGCCTCAAATGTCCAGCAGAGGTCTCCTGTATTGAAAAATTCCTTAAACCCTGCAATGAGCCCAAATCCACCCATTAATTAATTGGACACCTCTGCCTGACTTTTGCATCGCCCCATCCCCATCTCCCCTTCGTCCCGCAGGGCTCCGGGTGTTGCCCGATTGATAAATGACACAAAACTCGGATAAGTTTTGTGGGTGCTTTATTACGGGCCCTTGGTGCTGGGGGACTCACGTCCCAAAAACCCAAGCCCCCGATTTCACGTATGGGTGCTTCCCTCTTATACATGCGATTCACAACAAAGTCTCCAAGAAACAGTTCCTTTGTGATACATTCCTTAGTTCACAGGCAAGATCATAAATCTTCTGCTTATCTTATTCTAAGAGCATTGTATGCTGCCTTCAGACAGGTTAGCATTCTTACTCTCCTGCACTAGTTTAATTATTTACTAAATTCCTAAGACTACCTGCTAAGTTACACACAAACCAAACACACACACTATCAACGGCTGCAAAACTGCAAAACTGCTTTTAACAAACCAATTCACACACAACTCATAACTAAACTATAATTACACATTTTGCTAAATTTCATTTCTTTTCCAACATTTCCCCCCTTTTGAGCATCCTTCAGTCCTACTGCAAGGATGCTCAATCAACAGTATTGACAGTAACATCTTCATAACGAGGTGGGGAGTGTTCTTCATTCTGCCGCCCGCGGGTCATGGCCTTCAGCAACCGGAGAGATCGCTTCTTTTCCTTTTCGATCACTCCTAAGAGGCATCTATATACAATCCATATAGTCACTAAAAATACTAAAAACATTAGTGCATACTGTATAGCAGATGTAATCCAGCCAGACAGGTGAAGCCCCAAAGAATCAAATACTGCTCCTATCCAGTTATGCTGTGCTTCCTTTTCAATTTCCTTGGTTTTTGTTTCCACTTCTGCCAGTTAAGAAATATCTTTCTCAATTTCAAGTGTAACATTTGGAATGTGTACACAGCAATGATCTATTCTCCTACTCAGGTAACCACAAACTCCATGTTCTCTTAACAGTAGCAAATCCAATGCCATTCTGTTTTGTAGGGTCATTCTTGATGTAGCTTGCAATTGCAAATTTAGATCTTTAAATCCCTTCTTAGTAGCTGCTGCCAACCTTTCTGTCTGTCCTAACAAGTTGTTGAGCATTTCCCTATTTCGATATGTCGCTACCGGAGGGAATAATGATTCTAATATCCATCCAAAGTGTACTCCTGAGCCAGGTTCATGCCACTGCTCCTCTAGGGATCCTTCCCTCTTTCTGAGTGCTTTCCTTTGGATCAATCTATTCTGTTTCCAGTATGGACACAATGTGGGAACCCCTAGGGTGATTTGTGTTACTGATCCATCTAGAGGTAAATGTGCGGTCCACTGTCCATGTCCCAACACCCAGACTAGATTTCTAGGGCTATGCACAGTAGTATATCTGCAATCTATAGGTCCCTCCATGGACTCTTTGCTAACCGTATGATCATATCCCCTACACTCGCATCCCCACTTTAATGCCATTTTCACCGGTACCAATCCAATTCGGTCTTCCGGTGTATCACATGTAAAAACCTCAGTACAATTCCAATCCTCTTTCTGCGGTCTGAACTCTCGGGAAGATGTAGATGTGATGAGGGCCCTATAATGTGACTGATTCTTTACTCCTGACCATTGGATGCACCATTGTACTTCCCCAAGGTAATTATAGTGTTCCAAAACACTAGGTCCCCATAATGTCTTCCAACTATTCCAGGTTTCAAAATTCTGTGTGACATTCTGACAACTCATCTCATTTCGGTGGGATTTCGTTCTTATTCGTGCTGTATTGCATGGCTCATCTATTGGGGTTG